GGAAGTTCTTTACTGTAAGGGTGGTGAGGCACTGGAATGAGTTGCCCAGGGAAATTGTGAATGCTCCATCCCTGGCAGTGTTCAAGTCCAGGTTGGACAAAGCCTTGGGTGATATGGTTTAGTGTGAGGTGTCCCTGCCCATGACAGGGGGGTTGGAACTAGATGATCTTAAGGTCCTTTCCAGCCCTGACTATTCTATGATTCTATGATTTATCTTTCCAATATAACAATGTAGAGTGGAAATGGGTATTGACATGCTGTGAGTATTGCTAATAGAAAAGGGCATTGGTGGGTTTTTACTAAGGTAAGAATTGGAGAAATTATTTCTGAAGGTCTTTATAGTCTGTATAAGGAGGTTAGGCTAGATGCTTGTTTGTCATTCAGCCTTCTGGTCCTTTAACCTTCATCTTACAGTGATTCTGTCAAGAAGTACTTAAGGCTTTACCATCTCCCCTGTAAAGAAATTCCAAGCCAAGTTACTCATGATAATAATGCTTTTAAGTGTTTATCTTCCATGTGAAGAAAAAAACCCTGACTTTCCACACTTGAGGGCATTTTTGGTAAAAGCTTTAGGTACAAGAGCTTATTTAATTCATGAGCTCCAAGAAAATTGTCAACATTTTGAAAAGGCTATTTTTCTTGCATTCTCTTTTACTAAGCTAAAAAGCAGTATTTAAAGCTGAGGAAAAGACAAATAATTTGGAGTTTCATTTGATAATTGAAAGTAATCAAAACAAAGACTTTAACAAAGGCTGTTGAGAATTGAATCTGCCTCTCCTGTTTAAAAAAAAAAAACAAAACAACACTTTTTTTCCTAGGCTGTAATTTGTGGGATTTACTACACAGATTTTGCTGTGGCCAAATTGCGTAAGATTTACACAGTTATTTTACCCAGATCGCATTAAATCAATAAATCATTTGTTTCCCAAATCCAATGTGGAAATCTACTGATTTTATCTCTGCACTAGTAATTTGGCCACTTTAAATACTACCAGGAATGGGACCACATGTATGTTTTCAGAGTAGTTTTAACACCCTTAGGCAGCTTTATTTGGACAGATGCCGTATTTTATTACCTTTCTTAAAATACAAACAGTGCTGAATAGCATTCTGTCTGAGGGTTTTTTTCTATCAGCTTCCTGAGCAGCTGCTAGGCATTTTCTTCTTAATATGATCTAGGATTCTCTGCTGCCAGTAGATAGAAGCTGAATGTAAATGTTTTCCCTCCCCCCCCCCCCCCCCCCCCCCGAAGCTCAGATGCAAATAAGTGGTCTGTAAGCATAATAAACAGTTGCCTTTTGCCATAACTAAATGCAGAAATCAGTAATGCAGTTTAAAAGCTGTTTTAAAGTGAAATGACAGATCTAACAAAAATCTGGAGTGCTTATTCAGCCCAGTTGTCAATTTTCTGTTTTATTTTTCACCTGAATGATAAAAATAATCTGTGGTGAACTATGGTGTGAGTTAATTGTGAGGAATTTCATGTGCTTGCAAAAGAAATAAAAGCAGATCTGTTTGCAGTGCCACACAGAGTTTTGTGGTAATATTTTCAGAACTGGAGTAAATGAAGAATAATATTTAACACAAGAGGGTTTAATTACCACTAGGAAAGTAATTGAAATTTTTCTGAGAGGACAAAGCTACGCTATGTTCCTAACTAAATAAAATGTCAGTCCTTTAGAGACTGGATAATCTTTTTCATGTTATGTTTTAGCTCCTAATATTCTGGAAATCAATAATCTGTAGTTTTGAATTTTCGGGTAGATTCCAGGTCTCATAAATGGTGTAGCGATCATATCAGCCACAGCCAGATGCAGTGTATGGTGGCATACTGTAGTTTTCTGCTTTGCTTTGTCTGTGCACAGCTGTTCCATCAGATGCTCTAATTTTTTCTACAGCTGATAATTTTATTGTGTAGTGCATGAAATGAGATGAGAAGGAACTGATGTTGACATACATCATCAGAGTGGCATAAATTAAACTAAAGGGTATTACCTTTGTTATATGACAGAAAAGTTATCCGTGTTTCCACAGGAGAAATGTTAATGAATTTGCTTTCTATTTCTGTATGCAAAAAGAATATCTCTGCAATCTTTTTCCTGGATTCTTTTTCATTGAGTGTCATATTCATATCTCCTACATTGATATTGGGTCCTTAATGCAGGGGAGCCTAAATTTCCTTGCAAAATTAGTGGAGATATGAGAGAGCAATCAGAACTCTTAACTGGGGATCATCTTCTTTTCATCAATTATATAAAGTCCGTACCCTTGTGCCTTCAGTGTTTTTACCAGATGTATCAGATCTGCTTTCCTTCTTGTCAATTCTCTTTTCATAGGCAGCTGGACCCTGAGCAGCAAGACCATTAACTTGCAGCCTTGGTTTTCAGAGATTGTTCAGACTTCCTTCCCTGGGCATCTTTGCTCTGTTTCTATTCTGGTTTATTTTCACTCTTTCCTGTCATACTGGGTTATTTGCACTGTATAACATTCTTAAATGTCTTTGCTATCTTCAGTCCAGTGTTCTTCATTATTCTGAAGAGCTGGGGGATGAATTCCAAAGATGTATTTAAACTACAGGTAAAATGACTAAGCCATGTTTTAAGTGTGTTCAGTGAGAGATTTTCTTGATGCGTTTGGATATAAAAAGATAACTCTTCACTCTCTAACAATGAATGCTGTGAAATACAGAGAGCTAATACCTTTCTTGCCTTGCATGATCAAGTATTTCAGATCCTTGACAGGCAGCTTATTTCTCCAGTTAGAACTGTTTTGACATTTTTTTTGTTGACATTTATCTCATTTTTGAGCTAATTTAAGTTCTTCAAGGAAATCTGCGAAATTTCTACACAACAAGAACTGTAGTACAAATTGAATTTGAGGTCTTCAACTTTTATGTATAAAACACAGTAACTTTGCTCAACACCAGGTGGTGTACAATATCTGATTAATGCTGTTGTGATTGATGTAATTTGGAGCAATGGCAAATGCTTTTCAGGTTTCCAAGGAAACAGTGCACTAGGGGCATATGGGGTATGAATTTACATACATATGTATGTATAATGATTTCTTAAAATATAAGAGAAACAAGATTGGAATTGGGCTAAATATCCATATGTATAAGTGAACTATACCCAGCCTAGCTGTTCCCATCCACAATGAAAAACTTTTCACCTGCTCTAACAGAGTCTGAATTTTGTCCATATGATTTCTTACCAACCTCCTGTACTCTCAGCTGGCCACATCACTGGTATGGTTTGTTTTGTCTTCTCATCTCCACTAAAAATAATTGCAATTAATTCCTAAAATTTGCTTACATGGTAACCACAGAACAAGTTCCTACTACTAAAATAATTAATGTACATGCCATTAAATACAGTTCTTAAAATAGAATAGACTTCACAGTGTTTTTCCTTGTAAGATTTGTTTGTGTACTCAGTTCAAGATGTGTAGGTGAGCTGTTTTTCATAGGAGAATGAAAGTCTTGTCAGAGTATCACATTCTCTGGAATTGCTAAATAATAAAATATTGGTGGAGGTAAGAGGAAAAAGATAAAAGTTGTCATGTAGAATAGAATAGAATCATAGAATAGAATAGTTAGGGTTGGAAAGGACCTTAAGATCATCAAGTTCCAACCCCCCTGCCACGGGCAGGGACACCTCACACTAAACCATATCACCCAAGGCCTCGTCCAACCTGGTCTTGAAAAAGTAATTAGATCCCTGATCTCTTTAGGGCAGTAGCCTGGACTGACAGCATTTAGTACAGATTTTTCATGCTTTGATTTAAAAACCATCAAACTTCAGGTAAATTTATTCAGTTAAATAGTAACATGATTGTAGGGGGAATTTCTTCCAAAGCTGAAAGGACTGATGACCTTGTTATTCAGTCTGCATGTTGTTTGTGTAAACTTAATCTAAAGTTAGTTTTGAGTCCTCCAAGTTGCTTGTTTATTTCCAGTTGTTCAGTGTATATGAAGAGTTTGCTCTTGTTTTCTCCTTGATCTGTATGTTGGCACATGCTATGCTGCAGTAATGTTGAAGGTTAGGATAGACTAATCTGTACAAGCTGTATCATCCTGGCACTTGCCTTATTTAAATAATCAAAAGGCATGTATTTTGTTTTTGTTAATCTCAATTAAGTATACTGTTTGCAATTTATTTGCGTACTGCAGATATAATTGATTAAGTTATTCTTCCTTGGTTCTAGAGGGATAAATATTGGAAAATTGTTATATGGTCACCCTTGCATTTTGTATGTCTTCTTGCAAACACAGGAAAGAGCATAATTGATTAAATCTGGTGAATATTGAAAAAAAGGTTGTATTTTCAGTCATTATGGTCATTATGAAATTACTGTGCTGAAGTAAAACATATTTTATTATGCTATATTGGTTTATTAAAGTTTGTTTCTTCAGATTTTGGGTTAATAAACTGTATAACTTTGTATCAGGTTAAGCGATGCATTGTAATGAGACTTACAAATTTCTCCCATAGATAGGGACATTCCGTTTCCACTTTTTCTTGTGTACCAATGAAGACAGCATTGTGTCGAAGGAAGTGAAAAATTGAAATGGCAGCAAATATTGATGATTGATGTTTCTCGGAATTGACTTTTTTTTCTAATTATTTTTCCAATTAAAGCCTCAACCCATCCTTGATTATATTGACATAATTTTGATCCCGTGTGTTATCATAGTACAGTTATATATCAGTAATAATTTGCTAATGTTTTTAATGGGTATTTGTTTTTATGGTTTTTTTGTTTGTTTGTTTTATGGTTACTAATCTTTATTGATTTCTGGTGGTTGCTACCCTTCCCAAATGCATAAAAAAATTGAGGTGGGTTGGCTTGGTATTTTTGAACTTCCACTGAACTTTTTGAGTTCTCAGGAATGTCTATGTAATGTATGAAAATGCAAATGTATGTAATTTTTAAGTAGTAGTTACGACTATAGTCTGTCTTAATGTCTTATTTTTTCTCATTTTTCTTTTCTTTTTCAGGTCTGGCAGTTTCTCTTCAATTACTTCATGGAGACATAGAACAAATTAGGAGAGAGTATACATCCAGGTTTACCCATGGAGTATCCATAACAAGGAAACTAGGTTTTTCCAATATTATAATGCCTGGTAAGTTAAAAACAAAACAAAACAAACCAGTAAGCAGAAAAAGAAAGAACTAATGAGAAATTATTTCATTTTCAGCTTCTTTCCAAATTAATACTGTAGAATAAAACTTCTTATCTCTTTGAAGACTTTTATGTTAGGGTTTTTTTCAGATAGAAGAAAACTGGGTCCCAGTGGCCCTATTGCATTATACATTATATAGTTACAATGTTACATTGTATAGTTACTAGTATATAGTTACTATAGTAACTATACAATGTATAGTTACTATGGCATACCGCCATAGCAGCCTCTTTTGAGAGATGGAGCCCCACTTTATAAGCGAGGATGACTGAATGCAAGACTGCTGTTCTCTACTCAGAGAAAGAGAGAACCAGCAGAACAGTCTGTTCATAAGAGCTGGTAGCTCACAGAATTTCACCGACACTGTACAGCTTCTGGTTTCATGAAGTTTGTGGGTCAAATACTGGAAATTAAGATATTGAAAATAGATAATAATAGGGATGTAGAGACTTTTTGCTTATATTCTATGACAAAATATTTGAATACTTAAACAGATGCTAGGGAAAGAAAGATTGTGTCAGTATGAATGTGAAGAAGCAAATACAGAAAGAAGATTACAGAATTATCTATAGTTTCATCCCTGAAATTAAATTTCTCAAAACTTTAATGGGATGCTGGAAATTATAAGGGAAATGTCTCTTTAAAGGAAAAGCATATTTGCAAGCAGACTAATTTGGCATGATTATGGTGTTGTGTTGATGCTGAGAAATGTTGCAGGGAGGAGCTCACATCTTACTTTCAGCTGAGTCCACACACAATGCCTTGACTCTCACAAATGTAAATCATCCTCATGACTTGCAGATTTTTAACAGACACTACCTTCTTCTTATAAAGATCTGTCTTTTCATTCGTGTGTACCTAAATCAGAAATAAACTAAGGCTCTGAGGCAACAATAAATAAGCTTCAATACTTCATTAATCAAGGAAGTATAAATAGGTATTTAAAACTCATTACTGAGACTCAGCTTTATTTATGGGCATGGATTTCTCTTGAACTTCTTCCTGAAACTTGACAACTGAGAATTCACTCTTGTGTTTTTACTGCCAATTAAACATCTGTCCTTCTGCATCTTGTTCAGTATTACTAATCACTTAAAACATGCACAGAACTCAACCAAACAGTTTTAGAATTATTTTGAAAATACTCTGCCGGTGTAACTGCAATATTTAGAACAAGAAAATGTGTGAGTCACATGCCACTTCATTTGAACTTAGATTATGTATGTTTGTTTAATGGAAGCATTCAATTGAAATCTTATGGCTTATTAGCTAGGGTTTATTTGTTGTATTACTGTTGGACATGTAATTTGAATCAAATGAGTACTGTAGACGATATGGTTTGTAACAGTGGAAGCAGTTTTACTGAGCACGCTATAACTCTCATTAAGAAACCTTTTTGCATTTATTTTTGATTTAGTGACCTTCTGGTCTATTTATCAAATTTTCTAAGGTCTGTAAATAACTCTTGTATCCCTTCACTTTCCAGTTGTGAAATAATGTGATGTCATAAACTGCAGAAAACATGTTATAGCAGAGTATTGTATAGCAGCTACTGGAGGAATTTCTCAACTTGGTTTCAAAGAATTGTGCAGGCTCAGTTTGTCCAATTTTTCTTTTTTATTAAAAAAAAAAATATAGGTTTTGATGTGCTGCTTTCTCAGTCCAAAGGTATGCTCACCTCAGCTTGGCAAAATGGACAGTGTTTTTATTCTCTGTTTATTTATTCTGCATTTACTGACATGGAAGATATTTTTCCTAAAGAGAAATAATCATTTCACTCTTGCAATGATGAGTTTCAAGGACTAACCAGAGCAGTATGCCCTAGGCACTGAAATGCCTGCAGGAACGTAGCTTTTGAAATGCCTTTTTCTTCTAAAGCTCCCCTTTAATTTTGTTTCTCTTCTAGTGTCTTTTCAGAGATAAATTAGAGAACTTCATCTTTTGCCACTGGAAATGGTCATTAATTAGGTCTTATTTTATATTTTTGTTGAAAGTAAGTTTGTAGCTATGGCTAATTAGCACTTAGTTTAAGGTTCTGAACCAGACTGTATTGAATTATTCATTAATACTTCATGCTGCTAAACTACAGTATCTCTTTTGTAAGTCACTTATTTTAAGTTTCTCTCCTATTCTGGTTTATTTAAACTCTCTATGACCTCCATTTTTCATCATATATTTTCTCTTTGGACATTTTGTCATTAAAAAAAAAAAGTAACTAGAATCAGCATACATGCCAAACCAGAATTTTGTTGACAATAATAATGCATGGTTTTATAGAGCAATGCTTTTTATGTCACTGGAGCTTGACAGGGTGAAGCCACAGAATGCTGTTTCCAGGACCCATAGAATGTTTCAATGAACTCCAAGTGTTTTAGGAAATGAAGTAGATAGCTAGGAAAAAAACATACATAACTCAAAAAGACTGTGAAATAGGTAACTATTTTAGCTGTTTTATTTTTTAAGGGCAAACTCTATGCGACAACTAGTAAACTTCCTTCCATCATCCTAGTTTGGCAGTCTGCAGATGCACAAGCCAGTGGTCTCAGGAGGCTTTGTAAACCAGTGAAGGATAACTGTGCTTACCCCCTGGGTTTCTGTATTCACCATTCCTGAAAGGACAGACAATCACATCACTACTTAGTACATAAAATTTAGCATTTAATATTTACAAACATACTAGACTTTTTGGGCAGTACTTTAAGTTTGATTAATGTACATTATAGGTGATGAAATGTAAAAGCCCTTTTCTATTTTTCTATATGTACTTTTACCAGCTTTTTTTCTGTTTTATGTAGTGCATTCTCACAGAATCTGTTTCCAAATTTCAAAGCCAAAATCCACTCAATGTGAGATTCTAGTACATAAAGTAATCTCAGTACATAAAGCAGTTCAGTTAGGCCTGATCTTTACTCCAGAGAACTTCATCTATGAACATACTCTATGCACCTTTGTCTATAATATCAAAGAAAATTCTTATTTAAAACAGCTATAGATGCGACTTTAAAAGGCTGTGTATCTTATAGAAGACAGCAGGTAGCCTCCAAATGTCTTAGTCCATAAATGTACTTAAGTGCATAAACAGTTGGCCTGTTGGCTGATATTGGAACAGATTGTCATAGATGGATATTAATTAGCTATGGACACCCATTTTCAGCTCATGATCTGAAATAGTGGCATTACCACTGCTGAGATCTGACAACCACTTGCTTTGAATTTAAATCAGGGTTTATATTTCTTCCTGTCCATCCAAATTATTAAACTCTTTTGATATTAGAAAAGGTTAAAGAATTGATGAGTCATTGTTTTCCTTGTACATTATCTTAAAAGGTGTATAATGCTGATAACTATGGCTAGAGCTGGTCAGTCCTGACTGCAAAGTTCTTGGTTTGTAATCCTTTACTCTGAATTTTTTGGTCCTCTTCTAATCCTGTGATGTAATTTTGCAAATAACATAGCTAAAGACTACATGAAGCTGCAGTATTCATTTCCGTAACAGAATTGTCATACTTTCAGATGTATTTGTCAAACAATACAAGTCTCATTTTGTTTCTCAGTGTTCTGTTTGGTTTCCTTAAAAGTTTCTGCTCATTCAGCAGATAGAATGAGCTGCCCAGGATGTTGCAGTGCTTCTAAGTTTCCTACACTAAGCTTTCATATGCTTAATTTAGGAAACATTACTTAGGCTTTTTTACCATCACATCTGGTTGCTTTGCATTTGTCAGCTTTTAATTTCATTGGATGTCCTTTATCTGTCCAGTTAAATCTCCTCAGAATCCTGTCTTTGAAAGCTACTGAATATACTCATTACTCTTTCATCTGGTTTATTAAAAGGTCTTCTATTCTTTTCATGTGCAAGCACACACTCTCCAGTCCTTCTTGCTTTCTATCTTCAGAAGCTTTTAGAATGAAACCAAAACTAGAATTTTTGTCTTTTTATACAAATGATCTCACAAAATGCTACCCTCATCATACCATGCATTTTTCAATGATGTTATTTTGACTAGAAGCATATTCCCTCTTTCAAAGCTTAGAATAAGAGTCTGGAGAGCAAAAATATAATGAAAGCTATGGAATCTGTTCTCTTCATCATGGTGTCTCTGTCAGTGGGCTTGGATATAGTGAGGAACTGTTTATTCTAGGAAAAGAAATTTATGTCTGACACACTTGTTTGAATTTTTCCAGTCTTCTCTATCCTGCATGGAGTACAAACAGCCTAAATTTAACACCTGCCATTGTTTACTGTTCTGATTTCCAAGAATCCAGATACATGTATTTTTCATTACTGAAAGTGATATTGCCTGGATATATTACTTACGCAAAATATTCTTAAGCAATACTGTGTAGAAAAGACACCCTGAATTTTGACCTTTCACAAAATTGTAGTACTCTGTAGGGAACAGCCTCTGCCTTCCAAATCCTATTTTAATACTTTTTTAAAACTTTGATCCTATCTACCTAAGGAATTATCATTTCCACAAGTCACTGGTGAAAAGAAAGGTGACTACATGACTACATACTTGGTAGGACAAGTGCAAGGAACTTCTAGGTTGTTCTTCTTCCCATCTCCTCTGTTTTGTTTTCTTGGTTCGTTAGGATCAGAAAGAAAAGAGAGAACTGTGGAAAGACAGAATTTAATTGGACTTCCCTTGATTTAAAGTCTCTTGACATGGAGGATGGGGAAAAGGGACTTCTTTAGTTTATAGGATTTGGAAGAGTAAGCTGGCTTTCTTTTGAGCATTGTATAAGTAGCAATGATGCATGGGAAGTGTATACAAGGATAGTTATGGCTTCCATTAACCAGGTAAGGAGCACTCGCAAACTAACATGAATGCTTTAGCTCTGTAAAAATAGATGAGCTTTCAAAATTCTGTTGGAAATACTTTATGTTGTAGCTGTACAAACTCAGCAGGTCAAAGTCTTCTGTTAAAAAAACCCTTGTG